TGATACAGAATATTATAGTTATGCAGTATGGTAGTAGCTGATACACAATATTAGAGTTATGCAGTATGGTAGTAGCTGATACAGAATATTATAGTTATGCAGTATGGTGGTAGCTAATACACAATATTAGAGTTCCGCAGTATGGTGGCAGCTGATACACAATATTATAGTTCTGGAGTATGGTGGTAGCTGATACCCCATATTAGAGTTCCGCAGTATGGTAGCAGTTGATACACAATATTGGAGTTCCGCAGTACGGTGGCAGCTGCTGGACAGTATTAGAGTTCCACAGTATGGTGGCAGCTGATACACAGTATTAATGTGCTCTATAAGAGTTCCTGACATTGTTGCCCGATGAAGGCTGTGCTCTATAAAAGTTCCTCATACTATTGCCCGATGAAGGCTGCGATAAGAGGGTCAAAAGCTTGCAATTCAAAAAAAAGTATTTGAACGTAAAGAACAGTATGTGTATTTTTTACATGTTAATTCAACTACGTTTCAAGGCTATAAACACTACCTTCATTTCAAATTATATTTCAATAACATCACCCATATTCTAGGACTGCATATGGTGGAATACAAGTGCATGTAAAAACTAATCGATAAATAGCAAATAGTTCTCATTAGTGTTTTTCTATAGCACCAAGTGTACTTCAAGTATAACTCCTTGATAAGAAATATCATTATAGCTTAAATCGCCTTTCTTCTGCGATTAATCCTTTCAGAAGACGTCAATTCTGGATTTTCGTACTAATGACAAACATCTTGAGCTCAAAAACAGACCAAAGATCACTTTGTTCGTTTCGAAACTTTGTTTTAGTGCTTATAAGTCTTGGCCAATCTCTGTTAATTCAGTAGTAATTTAATAAATAAAAAATCTTATTACTCCAAAATTTCTCATTAGGGCATATTTATACAAATAAAAAACATTTTACATCGGAAACGAGTGGATATCAAAAATGAAAAACACAGCTACATACGAAACAATCAATGTTAATCAAGCAACAATAAATTACTAGAGTCTTTTTGGGTCTTGTTTAACTTGATTCTTTTTATACGTGATAGTTTTGATCAATCAGTTATTATTTTTATCTTCAAAGCCAACAAACATCCTGTTATAAGCTCTTCAGATGGTGTCTAACTGCTGTTTATTGCAGATGGGCCTGGCATTGGTAGGTGGTTAGGGCGCTCAAATCGCAATCTGCAGGTCACGGGTTCGAATCCCCGTCTCATTAAACATGCTCGCCCTTGCAGCCGTGGGGGCGTTATAAGTGAAGGTCAATCCCACTATTCGTTGGTAAAAGAGTAGCCCAAGAGTTGGCGGTGGGTGGTGATGAGTAGCGCCTTCCTTCTAGCCTTTCACTGCTAAATTAGTGACGACTAGCGCAGATAGCCCTCGAGTAGTTTTGCGCAAAATTCAAACCAAACCAAACCTTTCAAACAAATCCACAAAAAGTTAGAAATGATTAGTGATTATGGGAAAGTGCGTAAGTTCATCTCAAGCTGCAGGAACCAAATTATAAACGACTGTTACATAAACTGTAATAGAATAAATCTGATATGGCTACATAATGCAACACTACCTATTGGAAACGTTAAGTTGTAAATGCAAATTACGCACAGTGAAATATTATTCTGTTCTACGCTAAAACTAAAATACTTGCAGACCGAAATAATAGGTGTTCATGAAATATTAATGCATTACAAATGTTCCTAACATTGATATGTCTGTCCGGTAAAGGGCAGTTCGTTGTAATCCTGTTAGTATTCACGCTTTTCACAAATTATTGCCTCAAACTTTGCATACAGTAATTCAAAGTTTATCTCACTGCTCGCGAAATTCGTAAATTTTTGAAGATTTACAAATCATACTATTTTATGTTCAGCTTTGAATATTATGATTCCCGCTCAAAACTAAAGGTGTGTGCCCAGTTATGTGCTTTATTACATTGCCTCGTCCTCCCGGTGAGTTATCGATAATTTCCGAACTATCTGGGGTTCGATTCCAGCGGTGGAGAGAGCACGGGTAGTCCATTGTGTATCTTTGTGCTAAAAAATTAAAACCCAACAAACCAACCACATAGTCTTTTACTGTTCGTTCTAAAATTATGGCTATCTCACTATTTTCAAGGTTCTACTGAAACAATGTATAATCCACTTAGTTGGATAGAGCCCATTATGAGGTGTCAGTCTTCTAAGCAACAGGCTTACTAGGCTGTGAAATATATAGGGGTTATTTTAAGAAATGGTTCTGAGTGTTGAATTACGAGAGTGGTATCTTTAGGTGATTCGGACATTAACGACCTCCTGAGCTCTATCCACTAATAGTTCCATATTTTCATTAGTGTTCAGGTGACGGAAAAAAAAAGTTCAAATCAGGAAGAAATGATGCTTTATGAGTTGATGAACTTAGCTGGACATACTGATGGTCGACGTGGCTGTCTATTCCCTAAAGTGCTGTGTTTGTTGTCACGTGTGTTGAAATAAAGGTATTTGCTATGACAAGTAAGTAATGTTAGGGTTTTGAATTACATAATTATTTTATGAAGTGTAACGAAACCCGAAGTAAATTAACTCTTCTTTAGTTGTGTAGCCAAATGTTTTGTTTTTTTTGGTAGGTTTTATTATTATTATTATTTGTGTTCTGAGTCTAGCAAAAAGGTAATTACGAAGAGACAAATAATATGTCTATTTGTCATAATTACTTTTCTAAGCCTTTTCCTCACCTAAGATTTATTGACTATGAATAAAGTTAATATTAACGTTGTTGAGTGTGAAAATAGGTTTCATTTTATAATACTTTATTTCTTTCCACGTTTAAAACTTGCTTGTCAAAGTTAAACTAAAAACGAATAAACTAACAATGTTAAATAAATATTCTTGTATCGACTGAACATAATTAATAACTGATAAATTAAATATCATTTTGATTCTAGCATTTTTATTTCAAACAACATCGTCTACAGTGGAGAAACAAGTATGATTGTAAATAGGTTTTTTGTAACAGTAATGTTTGAACGGAAGAAACTACCTGAAGCAATAATAACTCAATGAACATTTACAGAAAATGTATTATCCAGTTATAGCAACACTGAAACAAAACTTTAAAATCTTTAAGAGGCTTGGAGAATCCGTTTAACAAACATTTTTAACAATATTACTATGTTTTAAAGAGATTTGACGTTCATTTGTGCATTTCTAATTTGTTGATATAACTTAAGCTTGTTAATCAGGATCTCATGCTTTGTGAGAACTCATTTTCGTTTGCGAAAGCAGGAAATTGGATTGAAGTAACACTGGTTGTACCGGATCTGCCGCTTACTCTGCACAAATCTGCCTCCGTAAGGTGGCCATGGTAGGTCTTCATCTCCAGCCAATAGCAAAGCCACGTTGTTTGCCAATTCTCTTTGTAATCTTGCATTATACTAAAAAAATAAAAGAGAGAAAACAGAGGTGACCATATCTATCACTAAAAATTATACATAAATGTACAAACAACATAAAGTTAGTGAAAATGGTTTTTCATCATTTTCATATTTTCAGTAGTAATTTCATAATTCAAATAAATTAATTTCCCACATATAGAGCCTAATGTGATAATACACATCTCATTACAGTGTCATATGGAGCCTAGTGTGATAATACACATCGCATTACAGTGTCATATGGAGCCTAGTGTGATAATACACATCCCATTACAGTGTCATATGGAGCCTAGTGTGATAATACACATCCCATTACAGTGTCACTCTATATGACACTGTAATGGGATATGTATTATCACACTAAACTCTATATGACACTGTAATGGGATGTGTATTATCACACTAGGCTCCATATGACACTGTAATGGGATGTGTATTATCACACTAGGTTCTATATGATACTGTAAGGGGATGTGTGTTATCACACTAGGCTCAATATGACACTGTAATGGGATATGTATTATCACACTAGGCTCTATACCTAGTGTATAATACACATCGCATTACAGTGTCATATAGAGCCTAGTGTGATAATACACATTCCATTACAGTGTCATATGGAGCCTAGTGTGATAATACACATGCCATTACAGTGTCATATAGAGTTTAGTGTGATAATACATATCCCATTACAGTGTCATATAGATCCTAGTGTGATAATACATATCCTATTACAGTGTCATATTGAGCCTAGTATGATAATACACTTCCCATTACAGTGTCATATAGAGCCTAGTATGATAATACATATCCCATTACAGCGTCATATAGAGCCTAGTATGATAATACACATCCCATTACAGTGTCATATAGAGCCTAGTGTGATAATACATATCCTATTACAGTGTCATATTGAGCCT